AGAAGAGGCGCCGCTTACTGTTTTGGTCTGGTATTCTGTCACGTTCGCTACTGTGAGGGAGCACGGAGCGAGGAACGAGGAGACGTGGAGTACATCAACAAGGAGACTTTATTAATCCAACACGAGGGAACCAGGAAAACACACGTAGCACTGGAGGTAGACATATACATACATTCACAATACCGGATGACCAAACTTAGAACAGGGCTCACTATAAATACACAGGACTAAAGGATGGGATGACGAGACACACCTGGAACTAATGAAACAATAAACATAATTAGAACAGGAACAGGAACCGGAAGAACCAAATTAGGGCATGGAAACACATGGGGAGCAAAACACACACAAAACACGGAACAGAGTCTGACCAAATGAAGTGGCATCATTTGATTTAAACAGAAAATTCTGTCATTTACTCAACCTCATGTCAATCATCCTTTTATTACCAGTTAAAAGTTTTGAATAATTCAATCAGTATATAGCATATTAAAATTATTTCTGAAGGACATTGACATTGAAGACTGGAGTAATGGCTGCCGAAAATTCAGCTTTGCATCACAGGAATAAATGTTCCTTTTACAATATATTCAAATAGAAAACAGTTGTTTTGAATAATAATAATATTTCCCAGTATGACTGTTTTTACGGTATTTTTCATTCATTAAATGCAACCTCAGTAAACATAAGAGATTTATTCGAAAAACATTAAAATATTACCAGTCCCAAATAGGGCTGTGCGATTAATCGAAATCGTCATAAAATCGCGATTTGAGCATGCGTGATTTCTAAATCGCTTTATAGCACAATTTTCCGCACCCCGACCTCCCGCAGTATGCTATCCGGACCAATCAGAATGCAGCGTGCCTAAATGGAGCACGAGAACAGAACAGACCGGGCGGGCATACAAACGTAACGGCAGGTTCACACACTCCGCCTGTGGTGCGGATTTTTTCCACGCCCATGTTAATGGATCAGAGTGTTCACACTGCATGCGATTGCGGTCCGGCAGTGCGTGCAGACGGAGTACGTGTGAACTTGGTGCAACAAATCTAGTTTAACATCTGAGGCAACGCCACAAAGTGCTCTATGACCAATGCATGGCAAAAAAAAAAAAAGTTTTTTAATTTATTTTTTCTGCCATATGTCTATTCTAGAGTCATTTTGTTACACCTTTACTTAGTGATTATTTTGCCTTATGTCTGTTCTGAGACATGTTACAGCTTTGTGATAAAGCTCTAATTGGTTTTCTTTTGGAAATACAGTATGTTTCAAATTCACACTGAATGCATTTATGACTGTAAAGCATGTCTGTGTGTGTCAAAATCGAAATCGCAAAATTGATCAAAGAAATCGCGATAGGTTTTTTTGTCCATATCGCACAGCCCTAGTCCCAAACCTTTAAACGGTAGTGTATATTTGCTGCATATGTAACTCCTCTTGACTTGTTTGGGATTTGTCGCCCTCTGTTTTTACCTGGTTTCTTTGTCAATGTAATGTAAAAATCATGGTGATAGCTGATTAAATATATCTTCTGTTGTTTTAATGGTATAGCAAAATCTCTACCAATTTACAAATTTCACATTTTCCGTCACACTGTAAATACTGTCTAAATGCCAACCTGTTCCCATCCCCTCATGATGGACTGCCTGTAAACATCAGAAATCTTCAAACCAAAATAAGGGTCTTGGCATCATGGCATTTCAGTAGTCTTCAGTATGCCATAGGTAAAGACTCTTTGAAACTGAGCAAGGCGTGTTCTGTTTGTGCAAATGTGTCTGTTAATGTGCGCGACCAAAGGTCACTTGGAGGAACATGGAGGACATACCAATATATCTCACTCTCCTGAGAGAGAGAGTTTGATGGGAGAAAGAGATGAAAACTCTGTCTGTAGTTCCTTCCATCATCTGTGCGTGTGAACAGAAGGATTGTCTTTTATGTCACATGAAGATTTGCTTAATCTCTCTGAGAACAGAGGGAGAGCGGGAGAGATTTTGGGTCGGGATGTTCAGCATGACGTGACTGTGTTGAATAGGAGGGTGTGAGGAGAGTGATGCTCTGTGTTTGTGTGCGTGTGTATTTGCGCTCTGCACTGGCTCTAGCATCCTGCATCCAGCCCAGTTTAGAGTCGCTTGCTGCTGCATCTCCCATTATAGGATATTCTGCTCTTAAGCAGCACTGCGGAGACACCATGTACCCAGAGGAACCGGTAAGAGAGACACACACACCTGCGTTTACACCACGCATGGCAGTGTACGAATACACTTACACAAACACACAATTTCTGCATTTATCACAGCTATACTTAAAATAGTTCTCTTTCTCTTTATTCTCATTTCTTTCTTTTCTGCCTTACACATACATTTAAAGGGTTACATACCCAATTATGACAATTCTGTTATTGTTTACTCACCCTCATGTGTTTCAGAACTTGTATGACTTTATTTCTTATTTGGAACATATTTTGAAAAATTAGTATTTTTGTCTATACAGTGAAAGTCAATGGAGTCCAGTGTGAAAGTATTATATTTCCTCAATCTCTTCTTTTGTGTTGCACAAAAGAAAGTTAGAATTTTGGGGTAAACTATTCCTCTAATTATTGGCACATAGACAACTTAATGTTTATGATGGACTCTGTTCTATCTAGCCATGCAAATGCAGTTGAGCTTGTAAGTGCAACACAAATGTTCACACAGGTCGCTAGACACACATTTACACACGAACAGCAGTTGCTTTCACAGAAATAAGCAGAGCCAGAACATGATGTGCTTGTATTATTGTCTTGAGCTACTGTGACATGCTGATGTGACCAGGATGTGCATGTGGGTGATGTGCATTGCTGTATTACATAAGCTTTGCTACATAACAGTTCAGTGGACAGCTGGCTTGAGAAACGCACACACAACTGCATCAAGAACACACACAAATTAGGAAAGCATGCACTCAGCACATACATCTCCACACAAGCAAGCTAAAACACACAGCATTACCAAGCTTTGGCTTTAGTGTGTTTTTGTCTTTGCTTTTTACACAACTGTAATGATGTGATTGTAAAAAACAGTATGACTTCTGATTCCTCTGCCCTGATGCAGATGAAACGGATAAGCTGTTTTAATCTGTTTGCTCTGTCGACTGAATGTCAGTGTTCAACTGCTCCATGGGCCTATTGGCCTGTAGCTTATATAATACTATAATGCTAATACTGTATGGTAGCTACTGTTAATACACTTCACTGTAAACATGGATCATTATCACTGCTGCAACAGCTTTATTTAACCTTGTTGTGCAGGTTGTGAAAGTTTGTTTTAATGTAATTGTCCCCTGACAAAAGTGTGCAAATAGACAGCATTCTAATGCTAATTCCTATTCTGCTTTTAGAAGGCTGCTGTGAGCTCAAGGTTTAACATGCCTTAAGCTTTGTGCATCCCTGCACGGGGCTGATTTAGTGTACTGAAACCTTGTGACACAGATGAGTGGAGTCAGTGCTTGATTTGCATGCTGAGTTTC